GCAGAGAAAGACCCAGGGCCTGGGGCAGCCAGAGAGCCGGACTCCGGCAGCCATTGCCCCCCAAAAAAGTTTTAACTGAGCTGAAAACAGGACCAAATGGAAGAACTCGGACGCTCCAGGGCCACTCCCAGAGGCTGAAGAGCGAGACCCGAGACGGGCACCCTCCGTGGCTCCAGAAACACAACGAGCTGGGCGCGGCCGGGGCCCTGAGCCAGAAACACAATGTCCCCTCTGCATTTGCCACATTAGCCGGCAAATGTGTTCAAACTGAAGGGATGTAATTTTACCAAAGAACAAATGAAAGGAAAATCAGACTGAATAGAAGGTAAGATATTCGTCTCCAGAACAGGCACAGGCGGAAATAAAGTTAACGGCAAGCTGTTAGGTGAATTAGAACACACGATCTGCCACTGGTCAGATGCCGTTGGGGAAGGTCCTCAAGGGCTCCCCAGGCCCCTCAACCTAGGCGAAGGCAGAAACGTGGAGCAGGAGTAATTCTGACCCAGCCGAGGGACAGAGACGCTCATAACGAGAAAGGCAGAGACATCTCGCCCCTTGCTGGTGATGGGTGTCACTGAAGCCTCAGGGACCTCTTTTGTTAAGATTTATTTACACAGAACCAGGGTGCAGGCCCGAACCTGAGGCCAAATACAGACTGTAACCTGGGGGCTTCCAGACCACGAGGGAGCAGGCCACTGGGCCTGGATCACGTAGCACCATCCACAGATGCTCAGTGCTAAGCCGGCATCCCACTGGCCATAAAGACAGCCACCGTCTAACACACAAGTGCGCTTCACAACTCAAAGCCTCCACACCCCACTCTGGGCTCGGGGGACACTTTTCATCAACGGTTCCTATTTAGGGCCGCTTAAGGCAAAGAACAATGAAACTCAGGGAGTCCAGGTGGTGCTTCACCAATCCTTTATTCGGGAGAATTCTGGCTTCTACTCGTGAGCAGCCTCTACAGGGCACACGGCTCCTGGGATCGCACCAGAATCTCTGCTGGTCCCAGCCGCGTCATTCCCCAGGCCAACATCATCCGGCAACTTGACTCTAAACGCCTCTTTCTCTTTAATGTGGCTTTAAATGTGTATCCTCAACCTCAGAACCCCAACTCCTACTTCCGGGGTCCGACCCAACAGCTCCACCCTTGGTACCTCAAGCCAACATGCTGCTGGCCTGGAACTGGCCCCAGCTGTTTGGCTAACGAGCCTGCCCAGCAGCAGCCCAGGTCCAGACACACAGTGAGGCAAGCCCATGAGGTAAGTTTGTAAGATGAGTCTGTCGGTGAATCTGTGAAGTGAGTATGTGAGGTGAGTCTCTGAGGTGACTCTGTGAGGTGAGTCTGTGAGGTGAGTTTGTGAGGTGAGTTTGTGAGGTGAGTCTTGAGGTGAGCCCTTGAGGTGAGTCTGTGGAGGTGAGTCTGTGAGGTGAGTCTCTGAGGTGAATCTGTGAGGTGAGTCCATGAGTGAGTCTGTGTAGGTGAATCCATGAAGGTGAGTCTGTGAGGTGAGTCTCTGAGGTGATTCTCTGAGATGAATCTGTGAGGTATGTGAAGTGAGTCCGTATGGTGAGTCCGTGAGGTGAGTCTCTGTGAGGTGAATCTGTGAGGTATATGAGGTGAGTCCGCAAGGTGAGTCCATGAGGTGAGTCTGTGAGGTGAGTATGTGAGTCTGTGATGTAAGTCCATGAGACGAATCTATGAGGTGAGTCCGTGAGGTGAATCTGTGAAGTGAGTCCATAAGGCAAATCTATGAGATGAGTCTGTGAGGCCAATCCCGCACCCCACCCACACTTCCTGTCCAGCCTGCTCATCTTCTCTACTCATCTTATCTCACACACCACTGATGCTAAAAGAACAAAACTCACTGAGGGCAGGAATTTTCGTGCTTTGTTCTCCACCGAATCCCAGCACTGGGACAACACACACAGCAGTCGTGAAGGGACACTGAGGGGTGAGTGAACGATGTCAGAACAGGCCCAAAGTAATGCTCTTTTTAAATAGCCTGCTCCACTGGCCCACAGCAAGGTGCACAGGGCCGGCCACCCCAGCACCAGCACTTGGGAGAGAGCAGGCCGAGAGGCCCCACACCCCATCTCCTGTCTGTGGCTCCTTCTCAGAACCCAGCTTCCTCCAGCCCACGCCCAGTGGTTAATTCCCTCCCCTGTCAGTCCACACACCCTCACCTGACTGAAGGACCAGGGCCCTCAGACCCGCCTATGGGGCCCACCCAGCAGACGGCCTAAGACCCAGACCTGACGCCTCCGGCTGACCCTGCACTGAGGTGTCCACTCCTTCACCCCAAAACAGACAGGACACCGCCTCTCCCTCCATGTGGGGTGTGCGCCAATGAGAAAACTACAGTCCAATCTCCCACGAGGGCTGTTAGCAATGTGTACATCCCAGACGGCTCCCCATCTTCGTAGCCCTGATTTGAGGGACACATGGGGTAAGACAAGTACACGGGGCGAAGCCTGCCTCTGCTGGGTCTCCACAGGCTGCTGGAGAACACCAGGAGGCTCCCTGGGGGGACGGGACACAGCACCCCACTGGCCCCTCTCCACGAGGACGCTGTGTTCTGCTACGACAGGAGCCGTAACAGGTTGGGCCACACTGTCCCCCACGTACGTGGGGACACGCACGGAGGATGA